GCAGGTTCTCGTTGTTCTCTTCCGGGCGGCCGCGGGGCGCGCGGCGGCGGCGGCCGGGGTGCCTGGCGACGATGCGACGCTGATGGCGTCGCTGCAGCGCGCCCTCGACGTCCTGCTCGGGGGCCCCATGCCGCATGGAGCCTTCACGCCGCTGGCTTTGCACATCGATGACAGGCTCGCCGCGGAGCTGCCCGAGGCAGGTGTGCTGGCAGCTCGTTTCGGCGACGTGTTCCTGCAAGGGGGCTTGGCGCTCTTGCCCCTGTCTGACCCCGACCTACCAACCTCGCCGATATGCCTCACTGCGGGATGCATACGGTGGGGGCATTGGACAAGGCAAACTTCGATAAGGAATCCACGGTTTGGAAGCCAGTGGAACTCCAATCGTGGATTGGCCATAGATATCACCGCCGCCTTCATCAGATAAGGAACCCTCCAGGGTCTGAAACCTCCTGGGCACGTTCCTGAACGGACGCCCCCACCGTATTCGTGCAATCTACGGCCAACCTCCACTTGGAGAGAACGTTCGCCATGTCCTTCGACATCTGCGTCGCGTACAGAAAGGCGTCATCCCTGGGCATGCCGAGCTTCTTGATGACTGCAGCTTCTGATTGCGGTTCAGAAACCTCTCCTGCGTCAGTTGGCTGGCGCCGCCAAGTAATCCCATGTTGGTGGCGACCATAGCATCCAAGTCTGCTTGGCGGATTGTTGGTATGATTGGTGGACCAGATCATCCAAGAATGACTGGTGATTTGTGGTTTGACTGACGAGAAATTCTTTCTGGCAACACAAAATTCTCCACGCCCTCTGCTGCAGCCGTGTTTGTCGTGCGTTCGTCGGTAAACGTGTGGCTCTGAGGCTGTATTGTAGACGACACAAGAAAGTACGAGATCCGCGCATGAATCTCCTTATACAAACACCGAGGCGAGACGATTGCAATCGAAGGTCCCGCTGCGCTCCCCCACCACCTTCGCATTTCCCCTCCCATGCAATATGGGTGATGGGCTGTATTGGCCCCCGAATTCGCCAATGCATTGGCGTAGTCGCGTCCGCGAATCAAGGACTGAAGCTTCTAGTCGCTAGTCAGCGAATCGCATTCCTAATTCGTGAACGTTGAACCCTCAAGGTGGGTCCACACGGCTAGCGGGCACGCTCGCCAGGATAAGGCGGGCACCCGCCGGCCCCAGGGTTCCACGCCAGCGTGGCCGATGATCGGTGCAGTGGCAGGACGCAGCCAAGACAAGGACAATTCGGGGCTCAAGGCACGGTGGTCAATTCAAACGGGTGTCAGCCAGAGCGCCTGATCTTGCAGAGTCCTGTATGGCCAGCACTGCGCTGACCTGGGTTTGGGCGCAGGGTCCTGCAAGGTCGTGTAAGATTTGCCAGATCCAGCAAGACTTGATTGACACGGGTGTGGACTGACACGGGTCAAATGATGCCGGACAGTGCACTGCTGGTGCACCGGCGGCGCAGCGCATCGCTGGCGGTGCGGCGCGATGTACAAAAACTGAATGTATGTTCCCAGAGATCCGCTCGGATATTTTGCCTCAGCGATGGGCCCCCTCTTGTGGTGCCTCCGGCGACGAGGGTCCAAGATATCCGCGCGGCCAAAAACATTATATATATATATATATATATATATATATATATATATATGCAGCTTCTCTGTCTTCTAGATGCTTGGGCCGTGGGTCGCGCTCTGCTGCGCGATTTTCTCCATCCCGGCGCGTTGAAGATGCACCGTCGACGCGCTGCAGTCCTCCGGGTGCATTTTGAGCAGGGGCCGACCGTCCCAGCATTCCTGGAGGCCTAGCACGACATGCTCTCAGAACGAACAAATGTTCTCATGACGCGCACAACGTTCTTAGAACAGAATAAAGCCGACGTGTACAAACAAGACGGCCCTCAGTCAGAAATATTCCAAGAACACTTCGTACAAACCACAAACAGTTCTCAGCACATTCTTTGGCGGGCCTGCAACACGATAGACGAGCCTGGACTCTTCGCCGCTGCTTGAGCATCTGCCCTTATCCCCACCTGGGAGGCTCCCCCTCCCCCCAGATCCACGCACCACTGGGACCTGCGCAAGGGCTCCCCCATGGGTCCGCCCACGCGCGGGCGGGCCGATGATCGGTGCAATGGCCAGCCCGTTCCTGGGCAGAAAGCGGCCGGGAGGCGCGTCATTTGAGCGGCGTCGGCGCGCGCCAAGGGTCTTTCTACACCGCGTCGATCGCTCAACCTTGAACCGCTCGCGGCCCCCATCGTTCAAGCTTGCATTCAAGCGGCCCCCATCGCTCAACCTTGAACGCCTTCGCCGGCGTCGCCAGCGCGCCATCGCCGCATGAACCTGCCTAGGCACACACGAGGCCGCGAGGGCCGCGAGGCCCTCCCGACCCAGGCGGGCCAGAGCCCACCAGGAGCCATCCCGCGGCGCGAGAGCCGCGCGAGGCACGGTGTCGGCTGCTCCTGCCCGGATCCCGCCGTAACACAGAGCACGACGGAC